CTAAAACCAAGAGTGCAATTATGTCGACTACGCCTTAATTAATGGCTCTCATGTATGTCGAATGCAGTGGGCAATTTGTGCTATATCTATACTTTCTACCAAAGGTGCTCTATAGATGGCTGTATAAAAAATCGTTTGAGTGTCCAAACAAATACGTATACATGTACATATTTTCCTTAAAAATAGTTGCGCCATATATATTTTCATTTAAACGATTTTAAACCATATAAAAACTTCAAATAGTTTGATAAACTAAATTAATAAAATCTAAGATTACGGCCTATTAATTCAATATACAATATTTCTATTATGATCCGAGGTGAATTTCGCTGAAAAGATCCCAAAGCTTTGCGTTCAGACGGCGACGTTGTGTGCTCAGAGACGTAAATGTCACACCCTCTAGTCACGGGAGTGGCATACATAGTGCCTGCAGTGCTCGAAGCTTTTCCAAAGTTGCGTCACAAGAAGCATTAAGTAGTTTGTGAAGGAACTCGAGACTGGGCAAACGTTGCACTTTGTAAGAGGATGGTCTTCATCACAGTGAGTTTTGAATTCTATTTCGGGTCTGAAAATGTCTTCTTTTACCTTAAGTCAGCGTGTGATGTCGCCTGGTTTCTTATCAAACGTAGGTGACTTTCTTTTCACGGCTTAATTAACTCCTGATGCTCCAAACTACTGATCCTGATACACCTCCAGGTTGTTGAGTTTTCAACGATTTATATAAATAGTATATTTGTATTGTGTCAGTTATGCATGAACTATCCACCAATGTAAATTTTCACCGGCGGAAGTAAGTATATTTTCATAGGCGCTTGTATATTTGTTGACAAATATCTCAACAGTTTTTCGCCAATTACGGAAACATTTTCAGGATAAAGAGTTATTCAGGAGGGAACTACAAGCGGATCCGTCTCTCCTGATATTTAAAAACAATTCATTTAGTTTGTTAATATGTACATGTGCATTCTGCCTTGTTGAAGGTCTGCCTTCGAGCAGTGCTCTCTATTTTTCTACGCAGAAGAAAATCGCTGCAGCATCGGTAATGTCAAAGCCTTCCACACCCTGAACATCCTTGGCATACTGTACCCAAGGTCTGCAATAATACAATATACGTCTCTTTTAAGGATGATGTCACCCTTCGCCCAAAACTCCTTATTTACTGCCTTACATACATGTACATTCTTTGGGTAATAAATAAATCTCCAGTGTTCAGTAACTAAATTCTAATTAAAAATTAACATTTACACATATGTCTTACAGGTGGCGTCATAATCTCGATTTTAGGTTAAAAACTGAAAAATTGGTTTCTCAAATTTCTTTTTTTACCTGAGCTCCCACGATCACCGTTTCAACGCCGATTTAATGACACTATTTAGTACTCTAACTTCTAAGACCCTACCAGCGATTTTCTTAAAAGTCTTAGTTCAGATTTTATCACTGATGATAAAGGAAAATAATGCCATTGTTGAATGAAAATCTGTAATAAGGAGCTCATAACTCCATACAAAAAAACTTAAACCAAAATAATGGCATTCTATTGTAGTCTATACTCTTCTGGACAACTCTGCCAATTTTTGTGATAAAATCTTTTTCAGGGATGAAGTTACGCCCCATACCGATTGCTATTTCACCCCAAAATAGTTGTTAAGGGGCTAAGCAGATGCAAAGCAGCGCACCCACGCCCCTCGTGCCGTGGGATGCGCAACCCGGTGAAGGGCCCCGAAAAACTTAGGTATTTTAGAGGGCAAACGGTGCCATTTGGTACGGTTTAGAACTATGATTCAGCTAGTTACAATTCTAATTTCAAGAGGGGATAATTGGTGTGATTTTTTTTTCAGAAATCGAAGGGGGGGGGGGTCAGGACCTCCCTTGACACCCCCTAAACTAGCCACATGATTGTAAGAAATAACTTCCGGTAGAGGTGAAAGGTGAATGTTGCCAAAATGCACGAAAAACATTTTGTAAAAACTTAATCATGCTGAATTTTTTTAAAAAAAAAGCCCAGAATATTAAAACTTTTTGTAACTAACAAATAGGAATATACTCAATATCTTTAAAACAAACGTTGATGAAAGAGCATACACAGTTACTGACGCCTACAATAAATAAATAAATAAATAAATATATAAATCCCTGTCTGTGATGCTCAATTTGAAGTAACAACGATGCCTATATAGACCTGTATGCTAACGACCTTAATTATAATTATGATAACTTCTGTTTCTAAAAAAAAAACATTTAAATTGATCAAAACTGTTACTATATTACAGTTTGCAACGCTGGGCTTTGCGCCTGTAGCCTGTTCTGAACTACTACTACTACTACTACAATAATAAAAAATAAATTAATTAATAATAATAATAATAACAACAATTATTATTATTATTATTATTATTATTATTATTATTATTATTATTATTATGAAAGATACCAAAGGCAAACAAACGTATGATATTGCTCATTTACCTGGTTATCGAGGGCTGTCACTCCTGCTCAAGCAGAACCTACGGTGCTGATAACTCGCACTCCAGGCTTTGGCCCGTCTGGCTCTACATTTCTTTTGCGTCCCACCACAATGCAAGCAGCTTGTCCTCTCTTGTTCGACTTTCGGTGACAACACAACGCCTTCAAAGTGAGTCTGAACTTTTCCCCGAAAAGACCATAAATGAAGAAATTAACGCAGGAGCCAAGTGTATAGAGGAAAACCATGACTGGGGAAACAAAAACCATGCCTGGCATCTCGTCAATGCGCTGGTTCCCAAAGAGTGCAAAGAAAGAAGACAGAGCCACAGTTAAGGAGGGCACTAAATTGGTAATGGCGATTACCAAGGTCATTTTAATCAAAGTACGGTGCACGCCCAGCTTGTGCATGGCAATCATGGTTGGATTTTTGGCTAGAACCCTCATGTTATGAGCCATCTTCACATTTAAAACCATGACGATAATGAAAGGAGCCAGGAAATGCACAAAGACATAAGAAATAAAAGAATACACTTTGGTGTATTCTGACACCGGCGATGGGACGCCAAGACAAAAAACGGGCGACGTTGTGTTCAAGGGACATGGACGCTCAGGCAGCCACTCAAAGAAATATCGTGGAACATTGTTGAGGAAAGCAAAAATCACAACGCCGCCAACTCTAAACGCCCAAACCTTAATGCTTGCAGTTGGTCCACTTCTTAGGGCGTTCTCTGAGCAAAGGTGGATATAACGATCGACCGTTACGAGCACTACTAGCCAGGGTGGGATCATGAAGAGGGCGACCTTCAACCCATACAGATGCCGGGAGTGTTTAATCAGGGTAAAGAAGTAGTTTTTGAACCACCCAGTATAAGGGTACATGGCTGGGACGCTGAAGTTAAGGAGCGCCGATACAATATGGACGCTATCGGCCACTGTCAAGCATATCAAAAGGAACACAGTCGGGGTTCGCTTCTCAAAACGCAAAAATACAGCCACCGAGAGAAAATTCAGAATAAGGCCAACCAAAGCCAAAACTGAAACCCCAATGCCACCAAAAGCAAAATAAAACAGATTGATGAAACCCAAGTCAGGAATGTCCTCTTCCTTTTCCTCTTTTTCAAGAAATGAGCTACCATTGACAGACATCTCAGTCGAATTCATAGTTTTTACAAGTTTAACAGGATTGCAGAGCAGAGGAAGCCGTCGCAAATTAAAGTCGTTCGCAAGCTGGAGAAGTCTGAAAGCATGTCTTACTTGAGCATGCATTTATACAGTGTGTGCAGGCAGCTGACAATTAACGTCTCACGCTTTAACTTGACCAATGGGGTTGGTGCGAAATTAATCGTCTCTATGACATCTGATATTATTTAAAAGACGTCACACAAGTATAAACCATGCAACCATACAACTACAGATACGCTGCTACTTTAAATTTTGGTCTTGTAAATGGGACCTTGCGGCAATTTTCTGCTCTTTTATAACTTCTTGACATTATAGCTTATTAACATTGGGTCCAAAATAATGTTAAGCATTACTCTTATGATTCTCCAAAACCTGTCTTATTTTTGCATTGGACTTTTGAGTTGGAAAATTACAACAGCTGAAAGGAAGCTTCACTCTATTAGCTTGAGACTGCCCTTTACTGTGGCACTCATCCAATAATAAGTCGAGGGTTGCGTTGTTTGATCTACAAAAGCGACTGTTACAGTTTACTTCGTTCGGTAACTTTGAGGGGGCGTAGGTATGATGTCGATTTCCAAATTTGTATTTTACATAAATTACATACATATATGACTCTTACTTAGTTCAGGGACTATCTGGGAACAATGAAGAAATGGCGCTAGTTTAACTTGACTGGTGTTGACTAAAGACCGTAAAAAGGTTACATTTCCGAGAAGTAAATCAGTGAGTTACGCACCTAATTTGGGAAAATGGGCCCATCTTCCAAAAGAAATAACTTCTTACTGCGTAAGATATACTTTTTTCTTATTAAGTAGCCCGTCGCTGTTTTATCTTAAATTGAATTAAACCATAAATTTTATCGCCTCATGAGATATGTGTAATGTGACCCTGTCTCGAATATTCTTGTTCTATCTGCAGGTGTTTCTGGTATACTGTTAAAACTAAAATATCAAACAAGAGGAATCACAGCAAAGCTGGCTGAGTGCAAGATACCGCTATATATTGGTGCTAGATGCATGGTTAAAAACAAATCGTTATAATGATTTTACATTTAATCAGTGCTCCAATTTCAAACCCACTTGCTTGATATTAACAGAGCAAAATATCTGTGGCTGAGTTGGAGGGCAAAATTGGTGTCAAGTAAAGGTTCTTAAATGGTGGAGTTACCATTAGTCACTTAAGATATTACATGTAACTTTAGTTGGTGAAACAGGTTCTTCAGTTCGGTAATGATGCCTATAAGTTCAATTAGTTCGTAAGAATGTTTGCGGTCTTAATACGTTGGTTGTTTATAAATGAGAATGGTATCAAATGTAAAGGAAATTGATAGCATCCCTAGTCCCCGAATTATATCATTACATCATCTGGAATGGAAAACAGGATAAGATTAAAGGAATTTAAGTGGCACATAAATAATAATAATAATAATTTTGTTATTATTATTATTATTATTATTATTATTATTATTATTATTATTATTATTATATGATAAAGAATAAAAAAACAAAATTTATAAATGAATGAATAATAAATTAAAACAAATGAATACAACAGTAAAACAGAGGTTCGAAAGTAACAAATTTATCAGCGTTAAGTCAATAAAATTGATTTAGGAAAATTTTTTGATTTTTGTGTTTATCACAAAATTACGAGCCATAAACCATTCGAGTTTCTGTTTCTAGTCTCTGTCGTCATAGAGATAAAGACAGATGGATGTCACTCGTCGTGGTTGAAATTTTAAACATACATTTTAAACCTACATTTTACAATGAACTTCACAACAACAATGAACTACATTTTACAATGAACGTATATTTAGATTTTCTCAATAGTTTTAGATATGCTTTGGCGTTAAGGAGAAAATTACTAAATTTGATGGACACATTTTTGGAATAAAAATAGAACGTTCATGCACCTTGCAATGATGATTCAACAAGAGACATTTAAGTAGTGGTGCATTTGATATACATGTACGTACGACGAAACAAACATTCCTTAATAATAATCTCATCATTATGTATTATAACTGACATAAAACTGGGAGGAAAGAAGATATTCGTCAATAGAACAATTTTCTTTATGAGTAAACAAAAAGCTTTGTGAGAAAAACGATACCTTTTCATAAAATAACCATGTCTGATGAAAATGAAAACTCATCTTCTACCTCCGTACACAAAATAACATGCCATGTAAGACGATCCATGACTTCAGAAGATTTATATCATCTGTGATAGACAAACACAGTCAGGGTTATTTTCAGAGACCAGCACAAATGATCAAGGACGGTCGAAAGGCAACCGTAGTCCGTTCCCAAATTACTTTGTACAGGTGACATTAGTCCTATTCACTAACCCCAATACTACGTCTAACCCTATACCTGTACTAATCATATGGGAACTCGGACTTCCATTCCTAGGACTACCATTCCTGTCACACCGGCATGTCAACGAGCACCACAGAATTATTTACTGGTAATATTTTAATTGTTATTATTATTTTCAACTCCACCAGGGAGGCTATGTTTTTGGCTCCACTTGCGTCTCTGTCTGTCTGTCTGTCTGTCTGCGTGTTTGTATGTCTGTTAGCAACATTATACAAAGGTTATGGAGGGATTTTGATTTAATTTTCAGGATAGGTCAGAAATGGGCTCCATTTTGCTTGTGATTAATTAATTAGTTAATGAGATAATTAAATAGGGCCTACTTTATAATAAATTTATAAAAAGACTTAAGCTACCTTAGCGGAGATTTGCTAGCATTGAATGATTTTCTTATTTCTTATCATTATTAAAAAGGTGACGGATTTCCATTAATATTTGGAATAATTATTATTTCAGCTAGATGCCTACACCGGTTGCCTTTTTCACATACATTGCAATTCAAGTCACCCACAGAAACTGACTGGACAGAATAGTTTCCTCAGCCACATTAGAATTTTCTTAGAGTTTAGTTAAAATTCACAGTGCACGTGTGATCTCCGAATGCATTGGTCTTGACCATAAATTATGCTTCTTGATTAAACTATACTACAGGCCAGCTGAGTGAAAATAATTCATTGCAAAATTTCGCACTGGACACAGTAAAGGATGTCATGAATTACACAGAGACATATCTGTGAATATCTGGTAAAAGTTCTATTTGTGGCCCGGGTAGATTGTTTGTATTAACAAAGGTATCTCTATATTTCAAAGCCGACTTAATACTAAACAGCGACTACGTAAGTCGGCTTAACAGTAATTGTCTGATATCGCTTGACGAGTGATCGATCCGGGATAACTGTACACAAATTATACAGTATATTGCAATTACAATTTGCTAAATGGAATTTGTTAAAAGACAAGAAAAAAAAAAAAACACTTGCGACTTCTTGTCAAACAGGCTATAGGGCTAAAGCAAAATTGCCGTCGATTTAAAAACATTACATAATTGCACTACACCATATGGTAGCAACTTATTCTTTTTCAAATTCCTATTTTCTATGGAAATTAAACAGTCAACGAATACTTCCACCAAGGTCTCAGCTGATTCACAGCGGTCTATTAACATTTTCACCGCAGTGTTCATAACTTGGCGTTGGGTTCGGGTCCCGCTACAGGACCCCGAAAATGTTTGGTATTTTAGCGGGCGAACTGTGCCATTAGGTACGATTTAGAACTATGATCCAGCTACTTAAAATTTTAATTTCAAGAACCATTGGTGTTTTTTTTTTTTCAGAAATCGAAGGGGGGGGGCAGGACCCCCCTGACACCCCCGTAAATCCATCACTGCCTCTGAATTAATGAAAATTAATTGTCTCTTCTTGCTCCCTCACATTTCTCCACATTGACAAATCTGAACTGGAATTTGTGGTTTATTGTTAGGCCGTGTTGGAACATTTAATTCTAAAATTAAATGTTTATTTCCAAAAAAAAAAAAGTTGACGTTCAGGTAGTGGTGCATCTGATATACTTGTACGTACGAAAAAACAAACGTTCCTCAATAATAATCTCACATGTAATATAACTCTGATGACATAAAACTGGGAGAAAAGATATTGGTCAATAAAACAATTTTCTTAATGAGGAAACAAAGAGCTTTGAGAGAAAGACGATACCTTTTCATAAAACAACTATGTCTGATGAAAATGAAAACTCGTCTTATACCTCCGCACGCAAAATGTCATGACGACCCATGACCCATTTATATCATTTGTGATAGACAAACACAGTCAGGGTTATTTTCAGAGACCAGCACAAATTGTCAAGGGCGGTCGAAAGGCAACCGGAACTAATGGAAACTTCGACTGTCTCTTGTTGCTCTCTCACATTTCTCCACATTGACAAATTTGAACTGGAATTTGTGGTTTATTGTTAGGCCCTGTTGGGACATTTAATTCTTATACTAATAAAATTAAATGTTTATTTGCAAAAAGAAGTTGAATTGTACCACAATAAGTTATATAAATCAATGCAATACCTAATGCATAGACTATCCTTACATCCATATTTTCCAGTAATACTATAGGAAAATTTCATTCCGTATACATTTGTAGATCTATAGAATGCCTTTGCTTGTTCAGTGTGTGGTGTAGCGTCTCTGCCGACTTGATCACAGCTCATACTCTTTTTTTAATGAAACTTTCATTTTTAAGCTTCATAAAGCTCAGTTATCTCATCTATTCCTTTTAGATATTGACCAGTACTTTATGCAAAGGCAAATGCAATAAGCACCAGGGCTCCATAACTCAAAAACATCGCAAACTGGGACCAAGCACAAGCTACGCCATAACTCGAAAACATCGCAATTCGCGATATTAGCATTAGTATTGAGGCTATTATTTGCAACGAGTAAATCCCGTTGCAATTACCTTTGCGCATGTATGATTGGACATTTTATGGTGTCTTTCCTGTTTATCAACATGGCAGCGAGTTTTGGTTGGCAGTCATAATAGCAGTTAAAATCTGCGTGTACCAATGATTATTTGACTTGGTAGCATATAACAAAGCATGAAAGCTTATAAAATATTGAGTCACTCGGTACCTCTGATAGAAAAAAAAAACCGTGCAGTAATCTTTTAGGTAAAAAATTATATATATATTATTTCTCAAATACCCCCAATAAATTCTGATTGACATTTATTTCATAAAGTCATGTTTTACTATGCACAAAAATTTCAAAATTAAACATTTCATATATTATTTGATATATTCTGTTGAATACGTCTGATAAGTCTGTTGATAATGATCATTAGTGTCAAAGTTTCATGTTCTACGCAACATGAAAAGTCAGAAACAAAGCATTCGGTCTCACCGTGACCTTTTTCAGTGACTGTTATTGTGAGACTGAAAACTACTCACCAATGCATCAGTTAATGTTTTAGCCCATAAAGACAGGTGCGCTTTGCTAATTGAATTATCATTATCATTATTTGTAATTGTGATAGTCCTATAAATTAAAACAATCTCTTGATTATCATCATAATGAAATAATATTACATTATGTGTACACACACTGGACAATAGAAGTGTCACCCCTACTGAACCATTACTTTGGGGAAGAAATGATTGTGGAATGATATGCTCCTGGTATCATTTTATTAACATCAAATTTCACAAAAAGATATGTGTCAAGTAAAATCTGTCCAGAAAAGGCTCTTAAATGGTGGAATTACCATTTGTCATTTAAGATATTACGTGCAACTTTAGTTGGTGACATAGGTTCTTCAGTTTGCTAATGATTCCAGATAATTAGTTTGTGACGAAAGAACATTTGCGATCTTAATACATTTGGTGTTAATAATAATGGTATCAAATGTTAGGGAAATAGACAGTATCACTAATCCCCCGAATTACATCATTAAATATGTCTGGAATGAAAAACAGGCAACGATTAAGAGGAATGTTATAGGTACATCAACAACACTAATAACAATTATACAATGATGATGATAAAGAACGAAAAAACAAACAAACAAACAAATAAATAAATGAATTAAAACACAGGTTCGAAAGTAACAATTATATCAGCGTAAAGTCAATAAAGAAAATTTTTGATTTGAGGAACTCTTTCTGAGAGCTGTTAATCGCACAATTACGAGCCATAAACCAATCGAGTTTCTGTTTATTTAGTCTCTGTCGTCATGGAGATAGCGAGAGTTGGATGTCGCTAGTGAAGGTTGAAATTTTAATTTATAGCCTACATTTTATTTCGAACAACTGTATACGTATATCTTAATTTTCTCAATAGTATTGGATATGACTTGGCGTTAAGGTGAAAATTACTAAAATTTCATGGACACATTTTTGGAAAAGAAGTCGGACGCACATTTATATGCACCTTGCAATGATGATTCAACAAGAGATGTTCAGGCAGTGGTGAGATATACA